AAGAATATATGACAATGCCCATTGAAGTTATAGGGGATATTTGCATTTCCTGTGATAGCATTAAAAGTGATAAAAAAAAAAAATTTAAAGGTACAGTGTAAAAATAATTTTAAAAAATCAAAATAACTTACTTAATAACTTAATAAAACTCGCCCCTCCCATGCACGCACACCTGTGTGCACAAGCGTTGACCCTGTGCCGGTATGTAAACAGCGGTTGCACCATACATGTGAGGTATCGCCGTGAACATCAGATCAAGGGCAGTAATTCTAACACTAGACCTCCTCTGTAAATCTAAAATGGTAGTTTTAAAGCGTTGCCTATGGATATTAAAAATGTATGCAGTTTGTCGCCATTGCACGGGGCATGCACAGTTTTAAAGCATGTCATGTTTGGTATCTATTTACTCGGCATACCATTATCTTTTATATCTTACCAAATAATTGGCCAATATATTGTGTTTTTTGTGCATTAAAAGTAAAAAAAGTGTATTTTTTTTTACAAAATTGCTTTTGAAAAATTGCTGCGCGCGAGTACTATGTCGCATAAAAAAATTGTAGTACCAATCATTTTATTCACTAGGGCGTCTGCTTTTAAAAAAATATATAATGTTTGGGGGTTTAAATTAAAATTCTAGCAAAAAATACAGATTTTTTTCATGTGAACAAAAAGTGTCAGAAAAGGCTTGATCTTCAGGTGGTTAGAAGAGTGAGTGATGTGTGGCACAAACTTCTAATGCTGGGCATAAAACACCCCCACCCCCCAAAACGACCCCATTTTAGAAAGTAGACACCCCAAACTATTTGCTGAGAGGCATGTTGAATCAATAGAAGAATTAATTTTTTTACCACAAGTTTTTGGAAAAGGGCAAAATTGTTTTTTTTGTTTTTTTTTTTTACACAAAATTGTCACTTAAATGATTTATTGCTCACACATGCCATGGGTATATGTGGAATTACTCCCCAAAATACATTCTGCTACTTCTCCCGAGTATGGGGGTACCACATGTGAGACATTTTGGCAGTCTAGCCAAGTACAGGACCCCAAAATCCAATAAGCACCTTCAGGCTTTTAAATGGCTTTATTTCCTCATTACACTTCCAGACTACCTATCACAGTTTTGGAGGCCCTGAAATGCCAAGATAGCACCTAACCCCCCAAATGACCCATTTTTGGAAAGTAGACACCCCAAGGAATTTGATAAGAAGCATGATGAGTATTTTGCAGATCTCATTTGTTGCCACAAGTTTTTGGAAAATGAAGAAAAAAAAACAAAAACATATATTTTTTCTATTCTTTTTTTTTATATTTCAAAACCTAGTGAGAAAAAATTAGATCTGCAAAATACTCACAATGTCTCTTTTTAAATTCCTTGGGGTGTCTAACTTCCAGAAAGGGGTCATTTGGGGGAGTTTGGTGCTATCCCGGCATGTCAGGGCCTTCGAAACTGTGATAGGTATTGAGGAAGAGAAATGAGGAAGTTATACACCTTCAGGCTTTCAAAGTGGTCATTGGATTTCAGGCTCCTGTATGTGGCTAGGCTCCCAAAAAGTCTCACACACATGGTATCCCCATACTCGGTAGAAGTAGCAGAATGTATTTTGGGGTGTAATTCCACATATACCCATGGCTTGTGTGAGAAATAAATCATTTAAAGGACAACTTTGTGTAAAAAAAAAAAAATGTTTTTGTCATTTTCTAGAAACTTGTGGGAAAAAAAAGAAATCTTACATGGACTCAATATGCCTCTCAGCAGATAGCTTAGGGTGTCTACTTTCCAAAAAGGGGTCATTTGAGGGTGCTTGTACTATCCTGGTATTTAAGCACCTCAAGAAATGTGATGAGCAGTCAGAAAGTAAAAGCTGTGTAAATTCTATTATCTATGCCATAGTTTGTAGACGCTATAACTTTCACAAAACCAATACTGGAAATATACACTTACTGGGATTATTTTTAACCAAAAACATGTAGTAGAATACATTTTGGCTTAAATTTATGATGAAATTTTAGGGTTTTTTTGTATATTTTTTTATGACCAAAATGAGAAAATATTGTTTTTTTAAAAAAAAGTTTTTTTCTTCCAAAGTTTTTTTGTTTAGGGCGCCAAAAATAAAAAGTGCACAGATGATAAAATACCACCAAAAGAAAGCTCTATTTGTGTGAAAAAAGGACATACATTTCATTTATGTACCATATTGCATGACCGCGCAATTGTCCATTAAACTAGCGCAGCACTGTATAGCACAAAAATGGCGTAAATTGCAGTATCTATACCATAGTTTGTAGACTGTATAACAAAGCAATCAATATACACTTATTGGGATTTTTTTTTACCAAAAACATATAGCAGAATACATTTTTGGCCTAAATTTATAACTTTGTGTTTACTATATATTTTTTATAGCTTCAACATTTTCGGTCTTTTTTTATTTATAGCATGAAAAATAAAAAGCGCACAGGTGATCAAATACCACCAAAAGAAAGCTCTATTTGTGTGAAAAAAACGACGTAAATTTTGTTTGGGTACAGCATTGCATGACCGCGCAATTATCATTTGAATTAGTGCAGCGCCGAGTAGCAAAAAGAGGCCTGGTCAGGAAGGGGGGTAAATCCTCAGGAGGGCAAGTGGTTAAAGAAGTTCTTCTACCGTAAAAAAATAAATGAAACAAATGTGAGCCGCTGCAAACACTGTAGCTTCTGACTTTTAATAAAAGGACACTTACTGGTCCAGGGGTCAAGCACTGTCTTCACCCGAGTCGCTTCTTCATGTGACCAGTGTCGCCACCTTCGATGTGAGAAGCCGGCAGTGACTCCTTGTGGCTTCCCGCTGAGCATGTGCGAGTCCTGCTGCACTTTTGTGAATTAACCCGCAGTCTCTGGGGACCTATGACATATGGCTGGAGGTTGCAGGCAGGGAGAGGGGAGCCAAATGAAGTTGGAATGGGAACCTGCAGAAATAGGTCCTTGCTCCCCCCCCCCCCCTCAAAAAAAAGTGCCAAAAATATTATGGGGGGATTGATTAGAAAAAGCAGATCTTCCTTTTTAGGGTGAAGGGAATCTGTTACATTTTCATTTAATAACATCAGCACTGTAATAACAATACAAACAACAGTTACATAGTTACATAGTTAGTCTGGCTGAAAAAAAGGACAAAAGTCCATCCAGTTCAACCATAAAAAAAAAGTCCTATACCCACAGTTGATCCAGAGGAAGGCAAAAAACCCAGCAAAGCATGATCCAGTTTTCTCCTGCAGGGGAAAAAAATCCTTCCTGATCCCCGAGAGGCAATCGGATATTCCCTGGATCAACTTTACCTATAAATTATATTTGTTATTTAGTTTATTATTTTTGACAATCCAATATAAACTTGAAAAATCTCCTTTCATGTTGTGAGTTTGGCCTGTCTGCTGCCATCTTTTCCACAACTTCCTGGACTCCCTGCATGCGTTGCAACTTCTCCTCAATTTGTAAGGACTACATATCCCATGGTACCTTGCTTCCTGCAAGCAGTGAATCCTGTACTGACTCTGCCTCCTGAAGCTCCACCTCTCAGCGTCTCTGTAGTTCAGAAGGCGGGCTCTGTGAAATGTGTGACACAGCAGTGCCTACTGACGGGGCATAGTGACTACGTGTCACAGAATTCAAAGAAGTAAATGAAGGCCTCTTGACCCCCCCCCCCCTCCCCTCTTCCTCCTAGGGAAAGGGAGCCTTGACTGCTGGAATCTTGGCAGCTACATGGGGTGCAAACCTAAAATAAGGAGGTTAAGTGGCTCCGTTAGGATTGGCCGCCAAGACACGAGGTAACTGGGTGTAGTGTGAACTATAGAAAAAAGGCTAGGCAGGGGCATGTCCAGGGCCGTGGATAAGCGGGTAACACTCCTTTACGGGCCCAAGCCATCAGGGGGCCCAGGCAACTGGGTGAACCAGATGTAGGCAAGGAGGGTGATCGGCACAGTCAGGAAGGCAGGGGGGATTAATTACTGGAACCGATCCCCTGTATGGCTCTCTCTGCAGTAGATGAGAACTGACTTTTTCTCCTGTCCCTCCCGCTGGCTTTCAGCTGCTGCAAAGGGGATTGTCTCCAGTAATTGCCCCCCCCCCTCACCTCACCCATCACCCTCCCTGTGCACCATGAATTTCCCCCTGCTGCCGGGGCCCCCTTGAGTGCCCCCACCCCGCAGTGCTCCTGGATTCCCTCCTCACATTTACCATCCCCTTCCTTTCCTGAATGAACACAATGAGTGATTGGTAATGTTCACTCACTGTGTTCATTCATAACTGAAGCATAGTAAACTTTGTTTTCTTTGGTGGGCCCTGTCAGGTTGGCTGTATGGGGCCCCGTGGTTTCTAACAGCCCTGGGCACGTCCCACTACTCTAAGGAGATTCAGACATCACAAGAGTTGCCCACCCACCCACAAGATGGTCTGGCCAAGCTTTCTTATACTGCCTTTGTTCTCAGTGGAAAGAGTCGGTCCTTAATTTGTGCCTTGGTGACTTCAAAGGTTACATTTGTCACTTGAGCAGGACTAGAGGTGAAATCATCTGATGGGGACACCTGATTCTCATCCTGAATATCGGTGAAATTAGGATAGGATTTCTAGCAAATGGAAGCAATAGAAGAACCTGTCCGGGCTTCCCCTTCTAGAAGTGGAGCTGTAGTGTCACCTTAATATAATATGATATTGTTGTTGTCGTTGTTGACTTGGAGGATCTATTTTTATCCATGTAAAAGTACCAGGATGGTGAGTCAGCATTATTGGAAAGGTCTGCTTTTACTGTAAACTGAAAGTTGTCATTTACTTTGTAGCACACCAGGGCTTGTGATTTCTTTACCTTCCACAACACAAACTGGGACTCTGATATTTTTAAAGTTTGGTTTTAGCTATGTCTGCAAGTGTATAGCACATATAAACAGTTCTCAAAAGTGTATATACTAATGATATACTGTATTTTTCGCTCCAAAAGACGAACTTTTTACCCCCAAAAGAATAGGGAAAAATGTCTGTTCGTCTTATGAAGCGAATATGGAGCGGCTGGACCGGTATTCCCCCCATCGCCGCCGTGTTAGAATACCGGGCTGGCCGCTCAGCTCTTCTGTGCAGCAGAATCTGCACCTCGGTCCAGTGGTGTCCTCATCACCACCGGTTTCACCGGCCGTCTTCTCTCCCTGGCTCCCCAAAGGTCTGCAGTCTCTGATCATTCCCTGTACTATGTCTGCAGTCTCTGGTCATCTCCTGTACTGTGTCCGCAGTCTCCGGTCCTCTCCTGTTTTGTGTCCGCAGTCTCTGGTCGTCTCCTGTACTGTGTCCGCAGTCTCCGGTCGTCTCCTGTGCTGTGTCCACAGTCTCCGGTCATCTCCTGTACTGTGTCCGCAGTCTCCGGTCATTCCCTGTACTGTGTCCGCAGTCTCCGGTCATTCCCTGTACTGTGTCCGCAGTCTCCGGTCATCTCCTGTACTCCTGTACTATGTCCACAGTCTCCGGTCATCTCCTGTAGTATGTCCACAGTCTCTGGTCATCTCCTGTACTGTGTCCGCAGTCTCCGGTCATTTCCTGTACTGTGTCCGCAGTCTCCGGTCATCTCCTGTACTATGTCCACAGTCTCCGGTCATCTCCTGTAGTATGTCCACAGTCTCTGGTCATCTCCTGTACTGTGTCCGCAGTCTCTGGTCATTTCCTGTACTGTGTCCGCAGTCTCCGGTCATCTCCTATACTGTGTCCGCAGTCTCCAGTCATCTCCTGTAGTATGTCCACAGTCTCTGGGTCATCTCCGTGTCCGCAGTCTCTGGTCTCCCTGTACTGTGTCCGCAGTCTCCGTCATCTCCTGTACTGTGTCCGCAGTCTCCAGTCATCTCCTGTACTGTCATCTCCTGTACTGTGTCCGCAGTCTCCGGTCATCTCCTGTACTGTGTCCGCTCTGCTGTACTGTCTCTGCAGTCTCTGGTCGTCTCCTGTACTGTGTCTGCAGCCTCTGGTCTTCTGCTGTACTATGTCCGCAGTCTCTGGTCATTTCCTGAACTATGGCTGCAGTCCATTGGTTCAGAATATTTTTTTTCCTCCTCTAAAAACTAGGTGCATCTTATGGTCAGGTGCGTCTTATGGAGCGAAAAATACGGTAACTTTATAATAAGAAACTTTAAAATGACACTTGTAACAGAGACCCAGCTGATTTCCAAGTGGCTGACACACACAACTGGGCCCCTCCTTTATATCCAATTCAATTCTGCAAGGTTTTACCCCCTTCATGATCAGGCCATTTTATGCTATACCTATTCCGCTACTTTAACTGGTAATTGTGCAGTCATGCAATGCTTTCCCAAATACAATGTATAACATTTTTTCACACAAATAGAGCTTTCTTTTGGTGGAATTTGATCACCACTGGGTTTTTTATTTTTTGTGATCAAAACGTTTGAAAAAAAAAAACCCAATATTTTTTACTTTCCGCTATAAAATATATCCAGTTAAAAAAAAAATCAAATTTCTTTATAAAGTTTGGCCAAAATCTATCCTGCTACATGTCTTTGATAAAAAAAAAAGAATCCTGTTAAGTGTATCTTGCATGCAAGTTGTACCTGAAATGTTTTTTTTAATATACTACTAATGACGGGGATCAGTGATTTTTATTGGGGCTGCGGGAATGTGGCATGCAATCTGACACTAACTGCCACTAACTAACTGCCACTGACATCACCAGTGACATTGATACAGTGATCGGTGATAATACCATACACTGTCACTGTAATAAGGACACTGGCTGCGAAGTGGATAACGTCTAGGGCGATCAGGGGTTAAATGTGCCTAACTGTGTGTAATGTGTGTAATGTGTGCTGCTTTTTCTAATAGATCTACCGGTTTGTCATCCCGGCTTTTCAGGAATGAGAAACTGACAGATTGATCCCTGTGTACAGAACTCTGTGTACAATGTCAACACAGAGCTCTGGGCTGTGACTGTACACAGCTGATTAGCAGGTCCCATCTGGTACTTGCTGACAGACAGGGAGTGCCGGTGGGGCAGCGATGTGCGTGCGCGCCCGGAAGTAGGCAGTGATGTAACCTTACGTCTGTTTGCCTACAGTGGCTGCCTCTCCGCAGTACATTGCGGGCAGGCAGTCATGAAGAGGTTAAACAGGTACAGGGCATCATGCTGACGTTCTGCACAAACCCACATACTGCTCATGTTGATCCTAAAACCCACACTAATGTTGATCCTAGACCTCTCATCCACATTCTCCTGGTCACGGAACCATTAACACATCGCAATCCAGCGATATGCATGAGAGCTTCAGTTCTCCAGGGACTGTCCCTCCTCATTGGCTTCTGCTGCTGTCAATCACAGCCAGTGAGCCAATGAGGAGAAAGAGGAGGCAGTGCCAAGCCACGGCTGTGTGTGAATGGACATGCAGAGTAGTAGCTTGAGAGAGAGCTTGCTTGAGTTCCTCCATAGCAAGCTGCTTCCTCTAAGGGCAATTGGCAGGAGGGAGGGGCCAGGATGGCCAGGGGGACCTGAGAAGAGGAGGATCCAGGCTGCTCTGTGCAAAACCACAGCATAGAGCAGGCAAGTAGAACATATTTATCTATTTATTTATTTATTTTAATTGCCTTTAGTATCACTTTCAGCCATGGTTCACACTGATGAGGTATGGAATTTGCAGCGTTTTTAGTGCGAATTCCGCACCGCATCAAAATCGCACCCCGTTCATGCGAACAGCTGTATGTGTGTATGTTAAGTCAACAACACCCTGAAATAGGTCAGCAAAACTCGGTGCGATGTGCAGAATCGGATTGCATAGGTGTGAATACCCATGTGATCCGATTCTAGTGCGGACCAAAAAAGGGTCCTGCACGTTTTTGGTGCGGGTGTGGTGTGATTACAGCCATATAAAATGTATGGCTCCAATGACACCGCACACAAATCGCATGTGATTCACACAGGAATGTGGTGCTGTTCCTGTGCAAATCACATGCGATATACCGCACCGCATATAGGTGATCCCAGGCTAAAAACGAACTTCGCAACTACTACAGCTGCTGATTTTTTAATAACAAGACACTTCCTAGTCGGGATCCAGCGCTGTCTTCACCCAGGCAATACGTTCCCAGGCTTCAGGTCCCCAGTGCCGCCATGTTGTTTGTGGGAAGCTGGGCTGTGACTCTGCGGCTTCATAATTGGCTACCCCACTACACATGCACGAGTTGCGCTGCGCTCTGACTGGTCCTTCAGCCTCCTGGGACCTGTGACATGTTCCAGGAGGTTTTGGGCGGTGAGATGATGCAATATAGATCACAAAAAGTCCCAGCATGAAATAAAGTCCTTATGTGATACAATATAATGCAATTTAGATTACACAAAATCCCAACAAATGATAGTGTTAATATCACACTCTGGGTTCACAGACTCCATCACTGCAATGTGCAGGACAACAAATTCTTTATATGTGATATAAATGGTTCTTCTCCTGCACCCAGTGAGGCACAGTCCTCCACCTTCTGGAAAGCAGACTCACAATGAATGCTGGACCTTATAACACAAAAGGTGCACAGTCATTTTCCACTGTTTGGTGTCCACAGGACTCTGATATGAAACTCCTAATTCCCAATATCTCTGGTTATAGGTACTTTCTCCAATATCTCATTCACAGAATTCAAGACAGAAACAGCTGAGTACTGTTCGCGATACTTTTTTTTATTTGCACTAACATACAATTTTCAGGACAGGCTTTTGGGGGATGTCCCCTTCTTCAAGGTCCAAGCAGTACCGAGTACTGAGTGCACTAATACGGCTACGGCAAGACAGAGTTATCCATAGCATAGTTCAGTTTGAATAAAATGTGTCCCCTCTGTGATGAAAAAAAAAAGGTTTGGTTAAAAAATTGTAAGAGAAGTTATATCCAAGCACTTAAACCCCTCCAAAATTATTTTTGAGCCCCCCTTATCCTCACACAGACAGACGTATAGGCATAAATGTATGCATTGGGGTCACCTGTCAAATGTCAAGATTGTACACTCCTTGAGGGTTAGGGACTGATGTAAATGTACAAATATATATGTAAAGTGGTATATAAATTGACAGCACTATATAAGTACCTGAAATAAATATATAAATAAATACTACACGTGTTACATATCCCCAAGCACGCCATTTTACTCTCCAAGGTCATCAATATAATGTATGATGTTTTGAGGGATTTTATGTTATTACCTTTTGTACCACCAGCCCCTCCCTCTTAGTTTGTAAGCTCCCAGGATCAGGGCCCTCCTAACCCTCTTGTATTGAACTGTATTGCTGCTGTATTGTCTCCCTTTATATTGTAAAGTGCTGAGCAAACTGTTGGCGCTATATAAATCCTGTATAATAAGAAGAAGAAGAATGTAATCTTCAGGCCTAAAATTATTTTTAACCATTTTTTAACGACTAACGGGCACTTTCACCTCCTTCCTGCCCAGACCAATTTTCAGCTTTCAGAGCTGTCGCACCTTGAATGATAATTGCTCAGTCATTGAACTCATATAACATTTTTATAGTTTTTTTTTTGCGACAGTTAGAGCTTTCTTTTGGTTGTATTTATTTACTACTGAGTTTTTTATTTTTTGCTAAACAAACAACAAAAAAGACTGAAAATTTAGAAAAAAATTATTTTTCTTAATTTCTGTTATACAATTTTGCAAATAAGTAATTTTTCTTCTTCACTGATGTGCTCTGATGAGGCTGCTCTAATTTGCACTGATGAGGCTACACTGATGGGCACTGATGGGGTGCACTGAGGAGGCAGAATTGATGATGACTAATGGGGCAACACTGATGAGGTGCACTGATGAGGCAGAACTGATGATCACTGATGGGGCAACATTGATGAACAGGCACTGATGAAGTTGCACTGATAAGACAGCACTAATGGGCACTGATGGGCACTAATAAGCTGAGGACATAGCAAACATGTGGAAGAAGATGCTCTGGACAGATGAGACCAAAATTGAACTTTTGGACTAAAAGCAAAATATGTGTGGCGGAAAAATAACACTGCACTTCACCTTGAACACACCATCCCCAACGATAAACATGGTGGTGGCAGCATCATGTTGTGGGGATGCTTTTCTTCAGCAGGGACAGGGAAGCTGGTCAGAGTTGATGGGAAGATGGATGGAGCCAAATACAGGGCAATCTTAGAAGAAAACCTGTTAGAGTCTGCAAAAGACTTGAGACTGGGGGTGGAGGTTCACCTTCCAGCAGGACAATGACCCGAAACATACAGCCAGAGCTACAATGGAATGGTTTAGATCAAAGCATATTCATGTATTAGAATGGCCCAATCAAAGTCCAGACCTAAATCTAATTGAGAATCTGTGGCAAGACTTGAAAATTACTGTTCACAGACACTCTCCATCCAATCTGACAGCTTGAGCTATTTTACAAAGAAGAATGGGCAGAAATGTCCCTCTCTAGATGTGCAAAGCTTGTAGAGACATCCCCAAAAAGACTTGCAGCTGGAATTGCAGAGAAAGGTGGCTCTACAAAGTATTGAATGAATACAAATGCATACCACACTTTCAGATATTTATTTGTAAAAAATGTTGCAAACCATTTATCATTTTCCTTCCACTTCTCAATTATGTGCCACTTTGTGTTGGTCTACACCAGGGTGGGCAACTGTGGCCCTCCAGCTGTTGTAGAACTACAAGTCCCATGAGGCATTGCAAAACTGACAGTTACAAGCATGACTCCCAAAGGCAGAGGCATGATG